ACTTTCGGCTGGACGGCACCTGCCATAATGAAAACAATGAAGATATATATGAACAAGTCTAAGGTGCTCAGGATTTAAACGCTGTGAGGAAAAGCAACGCTGACATTTGGGATTTCTGTTTCCGAATGCTGTGTCTGATGTTGTTTGGGCAAATTTTGTGAAGGCGTTTTGGCTTAACCACTGGATGGCACAGCAAAGTGAAGCCTCCAGATGCACAGAATACGTGTCCCAGGGAAGATAAATATGGGATGCTGAAGAGAAGAGGTTTCCAAATTGTTTTCTGAGGTATCCAGCCCAGCCCAAAACATTTTGGTACCTGAGGCTGTCTGAGACAGAACAGCAAATGTCCAGGGCCATTTTGACCCCTGAGGCATCAAATCCCGCAAGCACCTCTCCCTGGCAGTAAAAACACAATAGCAATGTATTAAATCACTACCATTTTCTCATAACATCCAACCTCAGGTGCCTGGAAACAGAAGCCTCTAACTAATGCTAGAGCCAGCCAACCCTGGATTCTCTGAGAGCCTATGGGGAGTTTCTCAAGGAGAAAATTAGTAATAATGCATAAGCTTCCCTGACAGAAAGAAAAAGATCCCACTAATTGCCGACTTCTTTCTGCAAGAGGCGATGCAAGAAAGTTTTGGAAAACGGTCCGTATGAGCTATGCGCCATAGAATCTTCTGCAACGTACAGGGTTTCCTTCCGTGGCAAGGCATGGCTCCATAGAAACAATTTTGTTTACATTTTCATACGTGGATTTATTTGTAAATATTTTTCTATGTACATGTATGTATATGACAAAAGAGCCTTGTGGAATTTTAAAAAAACGTATTATGGCATCGGCTTTTTGTGGACTTCATCAGACACTGTGGTTCTGAAAGTTTTCAAAAAGCCGATGCCTTAATTAATGTCGTCGCTCTTACAAGAGCCTTTGTAGTTCTGGCCTTCTGGTAATTTAGATGTATAAATGCAAATTTATAATTTAGATGTCACAACTAATCTTCCGTCCAAATCACCCCAGATAAACACTTCAATTAATTTGCGCCGCATCCCAAATCACCCTCTCTAATCAGTTCCCCTTTCATTCATTTCTCCCTAATTAACTTCCCCAAAGACCCTGCTCAAAATCAGTTCAGTTCCCCTTCATTTATTCCCTTCATTATCCCAAATCATCTCTAGATAAAGCCATCTGAAATTAATTTATTGCGCCCAAATTAATATCCTGCTCAGCAATCCAGAACATTCGATTCCTCCTGAATTCATTGCCAACCCAGAAACACTTGGGGAACTCAGAAAAATATTTGGGGGTCTCTGCCCTACATGCCCACCCACAGCAACGCCTGTGTGCTCAAAGGTTCATTGGGAAGGGTTCTCTAAGGATACAACATTTGAAAACAGCTCCTCTGGAGGGTGGGGGTCAGTGGTGAGGTTGGGATTGTGAATTACGGTATGTGGGGAGCCAATGGTGGAGTTGGTGACTGATGGTAATCTGCGCAGGGAGGTTTTGGAGCCTGGAGTCAGCACTATGGAGAGTGGAGGGCTGGAATTAAGTAGTAATAATCAATAGCGCTTCTGAGCACATGCAGGGTGTCTTTTGCAGCCCTGAGAGACCAGGGCATGCGCCAACACATCTGAGAACGCAGAAGGCTTGTTTCTTGGAAGAGGGCTGCTTATTTTCTTATTTTGCAGCTTTGTTAATTTTAGAACTAGTAAAGTAAATAAAGACATCTTTGGGAAAATACTCTTAGTCTTAGAACATATTTGAAAGCAGCACAAGGTTGAACATTATCATTAAACCTATTATTCCGAAACATTGCAAACCTGCCCCCCCCTATTTTTTCCACGAGCCTATTAGATTGGTCTATATGCATTCTTTTGCAATAAGTTAATTTAAAAATTATAGACCAGCTTCTCCCCCCCCCCTTTCACATATAGCAGGAGATACACTGGAGAGACGCTTATTTTCAAAACCAGAAAGTGCCCAAGCAGACATTATCTCTAAACCCAGATGTGTGAGAGTTGTTTTTTCCGTTCTTCCTCCAGTTAATAATTTTACTCCGTATATTTCCTCTCTCACTTAGCCAATGTAATTGGGGAGATTCCAAAAGGTGTGTGGGGGGGAGTTGCTGTTCATCTCCTTGGTCAGAGTCCTTCAAGGTCCCTGATGCTATTTAGCATCTACATGAAACGGTTGGGAGAGGCTGCCCAGGAATTTGAGGTGGGGGGGGCAGGAGCAAGGTGTTAGAGATCCTAAAAGGGCCGGATGGGGACTCACAAGCCAAGACGTAGGCTGTGTACATCTAAAGGTAAAGGTACCCCTGCCCGTACAGGCCAGTCTTGCCAGACTCTGGGGTTGTGCACTCATCTCACTCTAGAGGCCGGGAGCCAGCGCTGTCCGCAGACACTTCCGGGTCACGTGGCCAGCGTGACGAAGCTGCTCTGGTGAGCCAGTGCAGCACACAGAAACACTGTTTACCTTCCCGCTAGAAAGCGGTCCCTATTTATCTACTTGCACCCGGGGATGCTTTCGAACTGCTAGGTTGGCAGGCACTGGGACCAAGCAAGGGGAGCGCACCCCGCCTTGGGGATTCGAACCACCAACCATGCGATCGGCAAGTCCTAGGCGCTGAGGTTTTACCCACAGCGCCACCCGCGTCCCTTGTGTACATCTAGTCCAGCACTGAATTTTTAGCGCCACACTGAAATTTGAGAGCCCCAAGTCCACCGCTGCCATCATGTCTAGCAGATTTCTCCCAAAGAATCCTAGGAACTGTAGTTTAAGGGTGCTGGGAATTGTAGTTCTGCGAGGGGCAAACTACAGTTCCCATGATTATTATTTGGGGGGGACCATGTGCTTTGAATATGCTTTAGATGTTGGGTGTGTACATAGCCTTTCTTCTTCTTCTTCTTCTTTGGCGATCCCTCGTAGCCGAGGAAGATTGTCTTCCATAAACACGGCTTTAAGAATGAGTCCGTAAGTGACTGTGGAGGCCAATTCTGGATCCACACATCCTTCCACAGGGGGGACATTGGCTTCTGGGTGGGAGTTGATCACGGTGTGGATTTTCCAAGCATGCCTTCCTCTTAGCACGTTTCTTCCTTGTGTCCTGAGCTTGAGCGTCTTCAAAGCCCACGACACCTTTGGGAAAGGCTGTTCTCCAATTAGAGCGCTTGCAGGCCAGTGTTTCCCAGTTGTCAGTGTTTATACTACATTTTTAAAGATTTGCCTTGAGACAGTCTTTGAACCTCTTTTGTTGACCACCAGCATTACGCTTTCCATTTTTAAGTTCGGAATAGAGTAATTGCTTTGGAAGACGACCATCAGGCATCCACACAACATGACCAGTCCAACGAAGTTGATGTTGAAGAATCATTGCTTCAACACTGGTGATCTTTGCTTCTTCCAGGACACTGGTATTAGTTCGCCTTAATCTAGCAGACAGTGCAGAAGGGATATCTGTTGAGGAGCAGGAGAGAGATTTCAGGATTAGGCATGCAACTGGTTCTAGACAGGACCACACAGTCATCTTCTGGAAGAGTTCAGGCTTGCAGGCTGGAGCCATCGCAACTCTTGGGACAACCCGGTTGCAGCTATGTCTAGGATCAGGGCTGGATTTAGGTTTGATGAGGCCCTAAGCTATTGCAGGTAATGGGACCCTTTATATGTCCAGCTGTCCTTTGTCAATAACAAACTGTTGCTGTTTTTTGTGTTGAATATATGCTATATGGTAATTTATGGATCTAATAGCTATCTAACGCCATTTGCACATAACAAAATATGTATTTTATCAAAGTAATTGTTGAACTGAAATACAAGAAGAAGTATATTAATAGTGAAATACAGGGGGCCCCCATTAATTACATCACAGGAGCCTACACAACACAAAACACTATTGCTGTATGTAGGTTTTATTTTTTATCTTGTATTTTGGAAATGTACATCCAGGGGTTTTTTTCCCCCTTTAATTTTTTTGGGGTCCACAAGCGAGTGGGGCCCTAAGCTATAGCGTGTTTAAGCTTATACGTAAATCCGGCAGTGTCTAGGAGTGAATTTGCTGGAACAAGCAACTTCGGCCTCTGCCGCTCGTGCCTTGATCGCATCCAGATTAGATTACTACATTGCATCTGCGTGGGGACGGTCTTTGAAAAGTTTCCACAAACCTCAGCAAGGGGATTGACTGCGGTTTGCAAAACTTCTGTTCAATTTGCATTGGCTTCAGTGCTCAGTTTGAAGTGCTGCTATGAAGCTCTAAAACTGTCTGGGACCAGGCGATTTGACAGGGGGCCCCTCTTCCACCAGCCTGAACCTGCTCACCCCTTGCATGCGAAATCTGAGGCTTTGATCCAGGCCAAGATTGTTCCTCAGGGCCTTCTTGGTTGTGGTGCCCGGAGCATGGAACTCAAGCTCAACTGGCTTCCCTCCCTTCATGGCTTCCCAGCCACCTGTAAAAATGAGCCAAGTTCTTGGTTTGAGCTGAATTTTCTTCTTCCTCTTGCCACGAATGCATTTTAGACAGTCTTTCAATTTTCTTCCACTTTTAATTTTACTTCTGGATGCGATTGGAGTTTTTTTACTTGACTGCTTATGTGAACTGCTTTGAGCACAGATGTATTTATGGAAACTCCGGTATATAAATAAATTGCGGCTATTATTACCATGACCATTGCTTTGTTACAGCTATACTGTACTGTGTATTTCACAATTTGGGGTTGTTGCTGTTGTTTAATTCTAAGCTGCCTTGGAGACCCATTTGAGCCAAAATAGGAGGTAAAAATACTTAGATAGGTAAATAGGCTGTATAAAGCAATACTAATTTCTGGAGTGGCAGCACCCCCTCCCCAAAGAATCTTTGGCACCTGAAAGACTAGGTTTATTGTCATAAGATTCCATGTGTCTCATTACAGCACACAAAGCATCAGCTTGAGTGACAGCTATCTGCATCAAGAAGAGAACGACACTCTGCACTTGCTCAGAGGTCCTCTCTTCTTATTTCTAGGTCTCAATCTCTGCGCTTAAAAGTGGATAGGCAAGGAAAAGGATAACCTCATTTGTATTTTAAGAGGATATATATTGTTGTTATATTGTAATGAAACTATAGGAGCAGGAATTGATAAATTGACAGCTGATGGATAATGGGAAATAAAAAATAATACAAATTAAGAAATACCGGTAATTGCAAATTGTATATATGGACTGAAATGTGAGTTAGAGATAAATATGGAATATTTATGCAAAGGGGAAAACTAGGGTCGCATCTAGGAGGAGGAAACTATTTTGGGAATTTTTTATTAAATTTGATTTAATTTGGCACTGATCTGTTTAAAAACTGGAAAACTAAGAAATATTATTTGGCCAAAAAAAAAGAGAGGCTCCGGGCCTGAAATCCGGGTCCAACGAAGCCCTGCGCAAAGGAGGACTGAGTCCCAGCACCTGGCTTTTTAGAAACCAAGCCCCGAGGGAGAGGGGCGGGTGTAGGGGGGGGGATCTCGGCGCGGAAAAGCGGGACGGCAACCCCCTTTACCTGGGAGTAAGCTCCGTTGAATACAACAGGGCTTACTTCCGAGGAGAGGCGGCTCGGATCGCGCGCCGAGCTGGCGACCGTCTCCCCTCCGGCCTCCGCCGGCTGGGGAGCCTCGCTCGCTCGCTCGCTCTCCCGCAGACCCGGGGGGCGCGGCTGGGGCTGGCGCTGAGCCGCTGGGGGCGGGCCGGGGGCGGGCCGGGGGCGGGCCGTCTCGCCGGGCCGGAGGGGGCGAGCTGGCGGCCGCGGCTGGGGTGCCGGAGTCGCTCGCTGCAGCTCCTCTCGGACGCACCAAAGGCGCACCATGGGCTCCGCTCGCTCCCCGACGGCGATCCCTTTGCGCGGCCTCGTGCTGGGGCTCTTTCTGCTCGCCTGCTCAGGTAAGGGGCTCGGGGAAGACCCCCGATCGCGGCGTCGGCGAAGGCTGCTTCCTTTGCCAGCCGGGAATGGAAAGGGAAAGCGGGAGCCCGGGCGCGCGCGCCCCGGGGTGAGAAGAAAGAAAGAGACCGAGCGCAGCCGCGCCGGGAATGGCAGCGCAGCTCGCCCGGGATCTCCCTGCGCTTTCGGACACCCCCCTTCCCCAAAACACCTCTTTGCCCACCGAGGAAGCTTCCCCGGTCTTTCTTTCCCCCCCTCCGCGGGTTTAAGCGTCGGATCCACCTGCTCTTCTCCGCAAGTCCCTCCCTTCCCAAGTTTCTGGCAACTTTTACGCGTCCGCGGGAGGAAGGATTTGGTGGCGAAGAGGGGTGGGGGGGTCGCCTTGCACCTGCGATCTGCCCCCCCCTAACTCTTTTTGCGAGCAGCCAGCCTGCCACCTCGCCCCGCAGAAGGATCTCTTTCTTTCTCGGTGCGTTGCGTTTTGTGGCAGATGATCCTTCTTTTCTACCCGATCCCTTTTAGCCAACCACCTTTCGGGACCAGGAAAGGCGCCATGCGTTCTCTTCTCCAATCCCAGGGAAGAGAGAGCCCAAAATGAATGGGGCGGGGTGGTGGGGTTGGCGGGGGCCAGGTTCAGTTCTAGGGGAGGTGGAGAGGACGGGGGGGGGACCTAGTAGATCAGGGTGGGGTGCAGCGACTGGGAATAGTTATCTGTGTTACTGAATAGGTTTCGCCTCTTTGCTAGGAATTCAGCTTAGTGCTTGGAAAAGTCTGGGGCTGGAGTGTAAGCGTCTCCCGGTGGGGGACCAGCCGAAGATCCCATCTCTGCCTTCTCCATCCTGCCCTCTGACACCGCCCGCATTCTGCACCACCTCTCCAATTAATATGCTACAGAGCCCCTTGGCAAGATCTAGGCTCCCCTTGGGGTCACCGCAACATAAAGCGTGTGACCCCCCCTTCTTTCTCTCCCCACCCCACAGCTCTCTGCGCTTTCACCTTCCCAGTCCCTCCTTGCTGCCCCAGGACTGCTCCTGTTCCCTGCTCCCCACCCCACTCATATCCTCCCCATCCTCTCTTGGCACCGATTCTCATTTCCTGGCACTCTTTCTTGCTCAGCGGTGACTTGACCGTTCTTAAGTGACTCATGGGCAGGGTGAGGTGATTTGGAACGTAATTAAGGGAGGAAAAATAATGTGCGAGTTCCTTACCCCCCCCATCAAATACAGAAGCGGAGCTGTGGAGAAGGGTGCCATCCTGGACTCAGACGCACCTCTTTTCGTCCACACACACCAGATGGTGCTATTTTATTCCAGGCTAATTTAACCTGGAATAAATCCTGAAGCCTGGTTCTGTCCACATTCTTGCTCGCTTGTTGTAGGAAGCTTGCATTAAAAAATCCCACCCTTAAAACCTCAGCCTTTCCTTAAGCATCTGGATTATGAAAGGTGTTTAGTCCTTATCATCTGGAAAAAAAGCTGTTTTGAGTGCTAAGGCTGAGGATTAAAACAAAAGAGTGCCTCTGGGCATGTGCAGAGTTTTTTTATAGAAAAATATCTAAGGAACCGCGGCTCAGCCCACCTTTACATATTTGGGATTAGGACACTGAGCTCAGAGGGTGTGGCTTTTACACAGGGGTGAGATCCAGCACCTCTAATTCTTGCTACTTGAAAAAAATAAATCAAAAGCTATAACCCAGCTTTCAGTCCTCCTCATTGGTACTGTAGCAAAGAATGGATCTAGCGGGCCGAGATTCAGAAAACAAGCTCTGCAGAGCCTTTTCGCTTGGGTTCAAAGTTACCCCTCAAGTACACTTTCCTCCCCCACTCCCTTTCAAATCATTTTGGGACCCCCTTTCTCTCAGGACACAGGGTTTTGCGCCACCCCGCCAACACCCCCTGAGTCATGACCCCCTCGCGCTGGATTTTGTAGATGCCAGAGGCTGGCACACAGGGGAGGATGTTTATACAATCTGCTCTTAGGGAGGCGGATGGGCTCAGATGCTGGAATGGTGCTGGGTTGGGTGTGGAGGGCTCTGCTGGAATGAGGCAGGGGGTGCCCAGAAGAGTCGAGGAGGAGGAGGAGGTATAACTCAGTTGTAAGTCTCCCCCAGTCCCCTTCCCCCAGCTTGGAGTACTGGGAGGGATGCTCTTACCCAAACAAGACCCAGCTCGTTGTTTGCTCAGTTCCAGCCTCTTTGCATTCCTGGTCCCCTGCGTTAGCTTTTCCCAGCCTCCTGGGCTCTTCAAGAACCCCTCCCTTTACCCCTCCGAGCAGTGGCTGAGATTGCTGCTCCAAGGCAGCTCTGCCTCACCCCAGGCGGAGGCAACAGCAAGCACCTTGGGAGAGGATTTTGAGGGGTGCCCTCTAGTCCCCCCCCTTCTTGAAACCTTCCCATCCAGAGCACCCTTTAGAAAAGGAGGTGTTCTGAGGCTTGAGCCCCTGTGAAAACCACATATCCGATTATTATCAGTTGGTAAGCCTCTTTTATGGCAGGCCCCTTTAAGAACCCATTTTGTAAAGTGCTTAATTCATCTGATCCTGGCGAGCTCAGCTTGGGCATCCTTCATAATCTTGAAGTCTTTTCTCCAGGCCCAGAAGTATGAGATCAGGGTGGCTCTCCTGGTTTCCTGACTGGTGAGGAGGAAAAAAAGAGAAATCACTCTGCACATGCTCACTGCAACCATCGCCACCATGTTCCAGAATTGAATCTTGGCTGAGATTTCAGTTCTCACGCAGCCCCTCTTTAGGCGTATCCTCCTCCTCCTCCTCCTTCAAAGATTTTTACCCTTTTTGTGTACATAAGAGCCACGAAAATCAATAAATTACAGCAATTAAAGCCTCTCCAGGTACAATTTCAGCAACTACAGCAGCCAGAACATTAAAAAAGGAGGGCAAAGAAGTCAATATCGATAGCAAATGCCAGGATAAACAGAAAGGTCTTTAACTGCCTGTGAAAGCAGCCCATTGCCACGGCTTTGCTAATTTCCATTGGTAGCTCATCTGCAAAACAGGTGCCACCACAGATAAGGCCATCCTCTGAACCCCTGGCCAATCAGGCTTCAGGAAACGGGGGTCGGTCTGGAGGGCTTCATGCATAGATCAGCCTGAGTTGCGTTGGGAAAGGTGATCTTGGAGAGAGCCTTATCCCAAACTCTTTCGGAGCTTTATAGGTCAAAACACGCACCTTAAATTTGATGTGTGGCAGCTAGCTGGCAGCCACGCCCTGGGTGGCATAATGTGTACTGGGCACGATTCCTGGTTTCTCTATCTGCGTTTGCAGCTTCAAATGACAAGGGCCCGAGATAAGGAGTTTCATTTACTTCAGTTTAAATTAATATCGGCAACTGCCTTTTGGATTTAAGGCTGCATTTTAAGTGTGTTGTATGTGTGTGTGTGTGTTTGTTTATTAATGCATGCTGCCTTGGTGGCGTAGCTGAAAAGTAGTATATTTATTACATGAATACATACTTTTTTAAAACAAATATCTTATTGAACTGTATAAAATGGGAGGCATTAACTTAGAGTTCCAGATGCAATGCTATATGCTTAAAATGCATTAGTTGCTTGTGACACCCATGATAAATCTCCTTGCACTCTGCTAATGGTGAGCTTCAAGGAGCTGTGCGGACAGAGGTATGGCACCAGCGCATGGGGTCGAGGAGGGTTTTATCTAGTCCCCTGATTACTAATGGGGTGCAGATGTGCTGTGAAATCATCCCCAGCTACTGTGTAGAAGCAGTGCAGATGGCCAGCTCCCCATGTGGCCGTATATCTGCCCTAATAAGTCCCCACTTGCTGAATTGAGGTGGTTAAAGAGGTAAGGAGATTTGATTTCTTGCAGATGCAGGGGTCCCTGTCCTTGTTAATGGTGATGAGGGACAGGATAAAGGGAGGAGAATAAAGAAGCAGTGCGCTCATACAAGCCTAAACGGGCTCCTCGACTATGTTGCGTGTAGCATCGTGGAAGAAGCCTTGAGCCCTTGAGGGGGTAGATAGTTGTTTTTGCTCCCGCTGCTTCATTTTTTAAGCCTGCAGTTTATAGCTGCTGTGTTGTTTTTACGCCATTGCGTTTTTATGACGGTTTTGGTGGGTGGGTTTGAACTGTGGATTCCTAACATTCTTACGGGAAGGCAGCATAAATAAATTGTTGTGGGAATTTCTGGTTTGTTTTTTTAAAAACTGAGTTTCTAGTCCTCATGGAAGGGGAGAAAAATTTAAGAGTCGAAGGAGGGACTAGCTTGCAATTGGCTTCTCAGTAGCTATTTTCTTGCTTTCTTTATGCTGCTTCTCCTTTTTAGAAGTAGCTGCTCTCCTTACCCCGAACCCCACACTTTGGTCACTCGGTCTTCTGACCAGTGCCTCTCCTTGCCTATAGTTTGGAAGAAAAGAGTGGAGAAAGAAAATGAGATTTGCAACCCAGTTTGTTTGTTCTTGTGAGTCCCCTGTGCTCAGTGAAACGTATTCCCAGGTAAATGTGTGTAGAACTGCAGCCTCTGTGTCTATTTTGGTTCTCAAGAGGATGGAAAGTTAGGAGTCAGATACCAAGCTGACAGATCTCTGCCTGGGGAGATGGTGGCGCTTGGATTCTGCGAGATGCCTCTTCCGGGCTCAGCCTCAGGGCATTGTGAATGAGACCGGTGTGAGCCTGCTGCCTTTTGCCCAGCCCATGTGTGTGACATTTGAGGTGTGAAAATTGCCTTGGCTCACTGCGTAGGGAAACAAGACTCGGAGCAGCTTTCCACAAGTGGCATGAAGGATGCTAGAAATAATTGCCTCTGCATGGGAGCCGTGCATGGAGCACACCGTGTCCTGCGTCCTGCTGGGAGCTGCAAGCAGAGTGCATGCATGGCTACATTCGCACCAACCGTTTAAAGCGCTATGATACCACTTTAAACTCTGGGAGCTGCAGTTTGTTAGGGGCACCGAGAGTTGTCAGGAGACCCCTGTTCCCCTCCTAGAGCTACAATTCCCAGAGAGGTTTTAACCGTCAATCCCTCTACAC